TATATATACATAAAATATGATTGCATCATACAATTACGATAAAATATATAATAGCACCAGTTTACAGCACCTTCATAAACTAAATAAAATCATGGTAACAGTTCATTATAGGGACCAATTCTCACTATTAACTAGTTGATTATTAGCATGCATATTTCTAACATATTGGCTGTTTATTAGTACTTAAAAAGCACATATTCTCCATGACCATATTCTAAATTCTTAATTTTACCCAATACCTAAACTTAACAAATAATGAGCAGAAATTAACTATTAATTAGCAGTAATTAGGAGTTCATTGAGGCAAAAGTCATAGTTAACACAGTTAATGGTCAGTTAATAGTGATAATTGGACCAGGAGGGTCCAATAAAGTGCGACCAAAAACAAAGCAAAAAAAAGAGTGTTTTTCTATATTTTTACTTGCCATCTTGCTTCGAGCAAAGTAACCTGAATGCAAAAGACATAATAATTACGACTTCCTAATTCTTCATAAACATGAACTTCACAGGAGGACTTGAACATACCATGAAATTAATACACTAGATAGCACTGTGTATAGAGGACGTTCATAATTTGGGACACATCTATTGACAAAATGCCCTTTCGTGGCTGTTCAGGACAAAAGCACAATTTTGAAAGACCATCAATGCTCAAAGACGTTTACTGGGTCCAAATGCTGCAGTTATGATATTACCAGCAGGGGCAAACAGGGCTGAGCAAACTAACAAAACCTTGACCTCTTGGGTGTGACGGGTGTGTGATGTTGTAGCTGTGAAGAAAGAAGCGTTCAATACTCACCGTGGCTGACTGATTGCAGGTGGACAGTTTTCGAGATCTTCTCCTCATAATTAGGAGTGCAGGACTTCCTGCTGACCTTGGACTTGAAGAGTGTGTTTACGAGCGTTGACTTCCCCAGACCGCTCTGACCTGTCGATGAGAACGAGAACAGACTTAATGACTTTTGTTTGTAAACTGCAGTAAAGCACAATTAACTCCATATGTAGCAGACCCCTGGCACGTTTATTTGCAGGATGACCTTTGCTTAGCATTAGCAGGGGGGATAAAACTTTATTACTGCACACAGATAAGATGGCACACATAAAATTGAGGTCATAAAGTATCACATGACCAGGCAGCGCAGGCCTCCAGGGTTTACATAAGCCCTTGATACTGCAAATCATCGGTGATGTAATAGGACCTGGTCAAGCCAAGGCAAAGTGCTTTAGCGTCTTATCTGGTGGGTGTCCAAACACACTGACAACACCACGCCGCCGGGAGCTTTGGGGAGCTTTTCCACTTAATGACTCTTTCACACTAGTCCTCACGGAGATCAGATCAGAGGGAGGAAGCTATTACCAGAGAGGGAGCCTTATCAAGGCCATCTCAATTCACACAAATAAGGCTAAATTTATGGGGCCACCTTCATTGCTTCAAAGGACATGTGCCCTGTTAATGTGAGGCGCTTAGTATTGAGTGCTGATGATGGGCAGTGTGTGTTCGGTTTCGCTCAGAGGGCCCCTCGGGCCCACCGGTCAGCTTCCCGTTTGCAAGGCAGGGGTGGGGAATGTGCTAAACGCTCTCGCCGCTCCGCTTCTACCTGTTGAGAGGCCTAGCCGCCTCGGGAAGCTGTCAATGGATGAAACGATTAGACAGAGATAGACGACTGAGCCGGGGAGATCTGGCCCCTTTATCATTGCCCACCTCAACAGAGGCTTTGATGGATTTACGCCATGGCCTCTTACCATGGGAGGCAGTTGACATCAAATTTATGAGGAACTGACAACCCACGTTGTGTGTCCTCCTGGGCCTATTTGATTTACCAGTTCAGACAATGCCTGAGGAAAGCAGGGCTTCCTGAAGATTTCAGTGTAGTCACACATACCGTACCTGTTCTATGGGGATGGGAACAAGAGGTTCGGATTCCCCTAAGTGATTCTTATTCTATACCATTTAGGAAGAAATATTTGGAAAAAAAAAAGCAAATCCATTGCCAATTTATGATTACATTTTTACATTTTGAATTTTCTTTGTTGAACAGCTAGTCAGCAACTACACTGATTTAGGCTGCAAGTGTTTAAAACCAAAAAAAAACCATTTCATATGAGTCATATGCGTTTGGAAATCAGACTACGCTGATTGCGCTGCATATTTTTGATTCACTAACAAGAACCGACTCATTCATTCATGATTCAGACTTCACCTGTCATGCTGTATATTTTTGATTTGCTAATAAGATCCGGCTTATAAGACTATTTTATTTTGCAAAAGGACTGCTTTGGTCGTGCTTTGTTGCAAGCTGTATATTCAGTAGTGACACTATTTAGAGTATTTTAGTACAGTGTTACATCTGCATCAGTGGAAGAATAATGTATGGGCGAGAGCCATTAAGGCAACCGAACATCAACTGATGATCTCATAAAGGACCCCCGAGTCGAGATAATGTGAAGAGAATAAAGGCTAGACCCAGTCAGGTGCTTGTTTGAGTCATGCATTGACACACTCATCCAGAAACGCTGCGTTGTAACAGCTTGTCATTTACTGCAACCACATGAAACTCCAACAAATGCAGGTTGTAATTTCACCAGTGTCATGTGTTTAACAGTTGATTTCTCAAAAGCATTTCAAATGATGAAAACACATCTCCTCTGAGACACTTTGAAGCACAGTTTGCAAAGCTTTTCTTTGAACACAGTATCTACAAAGCCCCCTTGACTTGAGGGCGACAACAAAGTTGAATGTATTGACTGCATTAAAAATGTCACAATATGCTAAGCTCGTATTTGGGAGCAGACTGCTACTTGACTTATGGGAAACTGGGAGACTCGCAGTAGTTTAAGTCCTGAGGCTACAAAAAGGTCCTGACCTTTACAACTGAGGACAAACTACACAGACCAACAGACTCCAAGTGCTACCATATGTGTTTGCGACTCTCGGATAAGAGCACCCCAGGGCAGGAAAATGTGGACAAGCGAGCATAGCCCACCAAACTCATCCTGTAGAGTTTCCTCCGTTCCTGCAATTTCATCCTGTTGTGTATATCTTGCTTTCGCACAATTCCTCCTCTTCCTGTATCTTGTCAAGTTTGCATTCATCGTCATGTCATGCTAGCTAATACATGCTAGCGTTCCCAAACACACCCTTGTCAGAACCCCTGCCCTTGTGCTCTACAATGCACTGCCATGGAAACCGCAAAATACACAAACAGAACACGTACATAAACCATAAACTGTTTTAAATTCAAACATTCCATGTTCAAAATTAAAGTCCTTTGAAAGGGAGAAAACAAATGATCTGTCAATAGCTCTACAGTGCATCGAAAGGGAGTCAAACAGATCTTTCTTGCTCCCTTTTTTACTACCTGCTTTTCCACACCTGTCTCTACCGGGAAAGGGAGAGAACGGTTCACCTTTGATGCATGTCCAGAGTAGCAGGCATGTAGTGCACCACCATACCTACTACAATACAAACACTGTAACCTCCACAGTTCACTGAGGAAAGGAAGAAACTCGCAGAGGCCAAATGTTACAGAGCCAGCTTTTGGGGGAGTTAGCACTGGACCAGAGCCGTTTTTGCTCTGCAGAATTCATCACAATACTGATCTGCTTTAACGTGCCTTTGATCTGCTCCCTATCAAACAGGTTTCAAGCTGCTCTGGATAGAGAGGAAGAATCCAAATGGCCAAAATGAGAACAGGTGAAGACTGTTATTGTCATATCTCCAACTAATATCATTCCCACACACTTTGAGTGGATCATATTTATGAAGTGTATTTATTGAGTGTTTCAGTCAGTGTTTCTTCAACCTTGGCTACTTTTATCAGGGGTTTATTTGAAAAAAAAAAAAGAAAAAAAGAGAAAGATTTTTATTCTTTTCTTTTTGTTAGATAAACATCACATTAAAACTGTTGTTTTGATTGTTTTGCTTGGCCCAAAGCTAGACTTTCGATCTTTAAATTTGAAAATTCATTACATTTGTTTTCATGCTTAAGACTGATTTAAAGGTGACATATCATGAAAATCTGACTTTTCCAGGTTTTAAGTGCTATAATCAGGTCCCCGGTGCATCTACCAACCAAGGAAACGTGAAAAAAAAACATCTGCACGAACCAAAACAGCAGGTCTGAATGAGACGCACTCTCTGACAGCAGGTGGCGCCTATGAACAGGGTTGCCAGGTTTTCGCAATAAAACTAGTCCAATCGCGTTTCGAGGAGGGTTCCCCTGTAAAAATTGCATTCCGGGGGTAAAATACACGTTTTTCGGCGGGGATCTTCAAGTAAAATTCACATTCCAGGGACTAAATATAACGTTATTGGGGTCGCTTCAACCCGCGGACATGAACAACAACCTGCGGCAACAGTGTTAAGTAGCCCAATTCCGCTGGAAAAACGCGGACTTGGCAACACTGCTTATGAACCGACCGCAATATAGCGTTTCCTTGGTTACCGCTGTAAACAAAGCAGAGTTGCCGCTTTATACGGAGGAGAAGAAAATGCAATTGCCATCGAAACTTTTCTCAAGACAGTTCCCTTCAGTGATACATTAATATAACCCCATAAATGTAATGCATATTTGTACTTATTTTACTTTTTTTTTTTCGGGATCTACTGGGACAGTAATAAAGATCTACCAGTCGATCGCGATCGACGGGTTGGCGACCACTGATCTAAAATAAACCTTCAATTTATTTCCCAGCAGTTTAGAACTTAGTTTAGTACTCACATGCTGTGTGGTGGCCGCTTTCTGTCCATGTGCTTCGGATGTGTGCACTCAGAAAACCGTATATCAAAAGTTTAAACTCATATGGTTTAACCCGCATGATTTCAGCACGATAAACATGATAATCAGAACCATAACAGATGTTTTTAGCAGGTCCAAGCTGGAAAAGGGGGCGGGGAGCAGCAGCTCATTTGCATTTAAAGAGCCAGGCCCGAAAAACAGCGTGTTTCTGCTTCCACTCAAAATAGGCATTTTCTAAATGATATAATAAATTATCTGTGGAGTATTTTGAGCTGAAACTTCACAGACACATTCTGGGGACACCAGAGGGTTAGACACCAGAGACTTATATTACATATTGTAAAAAGAGGCATAATATGTCTCCTTTAAATCATAATTCATAAAGCTGTTTGCACCGCACTCTTTTGTCATATAATATTTTATTTTGGTGCGTCAATCTATTACTTAGTATCTGAAACCATGATCCACACTCACAAAAAAGTCTTCTTTTAGTGTTTTATTTTACATTAATCATCAATAGGACAGAAAAAAAAAGGCTTTGAGCTTAAATGTTTGTGCTTTGTCCTATTGGTGATTAATGTAAAATAAAACACTTAAAGAAGTCTATTTTTGTGAGTGCAGATCATGGTTTCATATACTAAGTCATGATTCATAAGTCATAAGTGTAAAAAAAACACAATCAAACAAACCAATGCAGTATTTATTGTGTGAATATGATACTGCTTTTAAAATATTTGAAAAGTATTTTTTATTGTGCATCATTTTCAATCAAGCTGTTATTTGGACAAATGTGTGGAAATATTTTTTAATAATGTAGGACATGTAAAATGAGAAATTAGCCTTAGAAAATAAAAGAATCAGCCATTTTATTAAAAAGTAAAAAATGTCTACAATAAAAACAGGCGTTTAATAAAACTCAGCTGTCTATGCAGAAGGAAGGCAAAAAAAAATAATGCTACATGAATACAAAAAAAAGGGATGTGGTATTCCCTTTTGCCAAAAAAGCTAGGGAAACTTTAACCATAATGCTCTGGGCTCGATCCAACTCTCTGTGTGTGGGAATACAGAATTGCAGAAGTACGATCGATAGTTTAACAGTTAAGCTGTCAACAGATTCACCAGATGTGGGAAGTCGTGGCCTAATGGTTAGAGAGTTGGACTCGTAATCCAAAGGTTGCGGGTTCGAGTCTCATACCGGCAGGGATTGTAGGTGGGGGGAGTGAATGTACAGCGCTCTCTCCCACCTTCAATACCACGACTGAGGTGCCCTTGAGCAAGGCACCGAACCCCCAACTGCTCCCCGGGCGCCGCAGCATAAATGGCTGCCCACTGCTCCGGGTGTGTGTTCACGGTGTGTGTGTGTTCACTGCTGTGTGTGTGCACTTTGGATGGGTTAAATGCAGAGCACTAATTCCAAGTATGGGTCACCATACTTGGCCACATGTCACGTCACTTACTTTCACTTTCGATACTGTGTTTTGCTGACAAAACAGGTGGCATAGGGAAAGAGTACACATATTTACATGTACTCCTGACATTGTAACAATACAAAGCTGGTTTAAAATCACCAAACTTGTCCTTTCAGATGGAAATGAGGCTGCTGTGGGAATTTCCATTACTCAAAGAAGGCCAAATGCTGCTGGGCTGGGTCTACATGAGTGTCCAAACAATGACAGATGGGAACGGGGTTGCAGGACTGTTTTGGAAGAACAGTTTGGAAAGCTAGTGGTGAAATCAGTGGTGCAGAAACTACACACTTCAGCTTTAATTTGTTTTGCTGACATCGCTGCGGAACAGCGGCTGATACTGTGTTTCTCTGTGAGACTTGCAGCCTTTGAAGGATTTGGCAAAATGTCATTTCTATAACCACTATGGAGGAGCCACCAAGGGGAAAGAAAGCACAAGCAAGGGAGTGAGGAAAACCTGGCAGCTCTGTTTAAAAAAACAGAGGAATGAAAAAAGTGGAAAAGAAGAATGGCTCTCACTGGAGAGCTGGATGGCCTTGAATCTGTGATGCTGCGGCCATCATAAATCCCCTTGGCTGGCCCAGTTGGGGAACACTGAGCCACATTCGGCTCCAGCCTGGCCCTGCCTCCCAGCCCACAGACAACACAACAATAGCCCTTGCCATTTAATTAGGTAAGGCCCACATTCAGCCAACACCCCCCTTCCCGTTCCTCCTCCTCCCTGCATGCTTACCCTCTCTCTCGCTAGATGCACAGGGGGGTTTGGGAGGCTCCAGCGCTCTGATTGGTCAGGCTTGAATAAGGTGGCCAGTTTGAATCAGGCAGATGTCCAGTAACTGCCCAGGACAGTTAATACCAGCAAGCTCTACTGAGCCGGCAGAGTACAGCCCTAGCAGGTAACCTGGCATAAAATCTGTGACTTAAGATTTATAATAAAATACAGTCTTCTCATGAAATTCATTTAAAAAAAAACTATTTTCTATTTTATTGACAGAGCTGAATTTTCAGCTGTCATTACTCCTGTCTTCAGTGTCACATGATCCTTCAGAAATCAATGTGCTGATTTAAGAAGCAATACATATATCATTATCTTATACAACATTTAATGACATTTTAAGATTTCTGTATATCAGTATTATTTTTGTGGAAATCGTGCTTTATTTTTTCATGAATAAAAAGAACAGCTTTTGTTTGAAATAGAAATCGTTGTAACAATACAAGTATTTGTCAGTTTGATCAATTTAATGCACCCATGCAAACATATCATGTAATGTGATTTTGTTGCTTAGAAATAAAATTATATTTGGTTAAATGATGGTCTCATGTCAGAGCCAACACATACATATTATATATATTGAGCTATATATTGAAAAATATCACAATATAATTTGACTATATCACCCATCCTATTTACTACCTATGTAATGTTGGCAGACAGAAGCCACCTTCAACAAATACACTATTTTACCAAGTGAATAACAGTCTCTGAAAAGAGCTGAGTTTTAAACATTTCCCTTAACAGGCAATGGCACCATTTCCTCTTCACCTGTCTGTGTTTCCTGTTAGAGGCTGAACAGTCTTCCTGCCCCCTTCACAGACAACCATACTCAACTATTGATGCTTGTGACTTTTTACCTGATTTGACACCTCAAGTCTGTTCTATTTTCATCTCTGCAGTCTTGGCTAAATCGTCCCCGTCTCAACTAAGCTCATGAGACAAAACGAGTTAAAGTTCACACTTTGAGCATAGAGAAAACAAGAGGTGTGAAGTCATTTAGACCGAGCCGTTATGCATGTCGTTTGAAATTCAAAGTTTCAATGTACTATTCTGAACCAGCATTGAGGGCTTTGTATTTTTCTTTTTCTGTATAAGTACAAACTGGGCATATCCTGCTTAAAAATATATAAAAATTCACAATCCAATTGAAGTCAGAGCAATGTTCGACTTACCAACCACCATGATGTTAAATTCAAAGCCAGCCTTCATGGTTTTGCGTCTCATCTGGTCCAACACTGCCTCAATGCCGACATATCCGAATAGATCTCTGCCCTTGATAATGCCTTGTGTGTCAGATTCACTGAGGCATGGCAGAGGATGTTCTATCTCCACCACTCTCTCCTCCACCTCCCTCTCCTCCATCTCCTCCTCCATCCGGACAGGTGGCTCCAGATCCAGGCCCTGCTCCTGTGCTGTGTCTGCCGAGAGAGAGAAAGAGAGACCCATCAGTTAACATACAGAATCCTCTCAGGAAGCCCTTAAACAAATATTATACTACACATGGAGGTTTTTCTATAGAAAAATCTCTGTCCCAAATGAGTCCTTGCAGTTTGCATCAGAAAGGCTTTGGCAATATAATTCCGCATATCAAGGGGGACCCTTCTGAAACGTAAAAATTACAAACAAAACACTATAGAACTTTGGCAATGTGCAAGGCATTAAATGAATCACATTTTTTTTTAAAGTGTGTGTAAAAAAATGTAATTAAATAAATAAAACAATTATTAAATTAATAATATTATTAAATCATAATTTAAATTATATAGTATTATTATGAGCTATTTAGTATTATTGATATATATTATATTATTTATTCAATTTATTTAAAATGGTAGTACTTTTGTTATTACCATTTTTGTTGTATTTAGCTTTATTTTTATTTCAGATTTGAGTTTAAGTTTTTCATCTAATATTTACTTTTTATTTGAACAAAATAAATGTTATAGTTTTACTATAAAACTGTTTAAATTGTTATTATTATCATTATTATTATTATTGTTGTTGTTGTTGTTATTGGATGGGGAAGCAGAAAAAAGCCCTGGACCTGGTAAGGTTAGTTTCCTTCAAGCATTTTTACATTGACATTCTATTTTGCAGACATTTATCTAACGCCCACGTTTCCTGACGTTTTATGTGCTAGCATAATGCACAATTCACCGCTGCAATTAATTTGAGGAAAATAAGTTCATTTTTTGCCAAGCTTGTTTATGAGCCAGAGAGCTGTGCGCTGTGAGCATGCTCAGAGCATGCAGGTGGAGGTTAATAAACATTATGATGACTGACAGGAGGCAAATGTAGGTGAGGCACAGATCGATTCAGATGGGGAATTGAAATAATGAGGACGAAGAATTGAGAATTGTCCATAATTGTGCTTCCATCCTAGGCTGAAATGAGGCATTAGATTCATTTGTTAACGTTTGATATGTGGGTCAGGAAGAGGTTGATTTTATCTTAAGGTTTACTCTGCATTCACAAAATGGAAATGGATATGTAAAGTACCCCCAATATGCATTGAACTTCATACAGCATAGTGTCAGCAACGAATAAAACAGCAACCCAGAAGAGAAATGGGTTTGCTGCCGGAGCGTCAGTTTGTTCAGCTCAATTGAGTTCACTCGCGAGAGCGGCCAACATAGAAACAGCAGTTCACACGGCACTGGTTAACTACTGAGGCACGGACACCTGTCAGCTGGCTCGGCTGGAGGAAGCCGGAGTGAGCACAGCAGCAGCAGGGGGTGGATAGTGCTACTGGCTAATGTTTTTTTTCTTAACCATGTACTGTAGTTTGTACCATTACCATCTTGAGACAGCTCTGTTTTATAAGAGGATTGGTAACAACCCCCCTGATAACCCCTGAAGTTGTCTTGGTGGAGAAAATACTCCACATTGTCCGTCACATTGTTCAAAACAAATCGTTCAATCGTAATCGTTCAAAGGCACAATTACAAAGAAAAGGACCACTTGCATTATTCTGCATGCTTAAGATGTGTTTTTTTTTTCTTTCTACAGGTTATCTTAAGGGGTTTTCCCATTATTTTAATTTTAGTTTTAGTATAACATTGTAATACCATGCATATTTTTACTTTAAACCAAACCAATATATTTGAGGCGTGGTGCTATAGAAAAGCTATAGGATGCTATAGAAAAGCTATAGGATGCTATAGAAAAGCAATAAAAGATTTTCTGAAAGTGTGTTTTTAGCTTGTTTATTTTCATATAAAATATGGCATTCAGTTGCTTCAAACAATTGTATAAAACTATTTAAAACATCAGCAATGTTAGGGGCTACGCATTACAAGTAATGCAAGTTACATAATCAGATTACTTTTTTCAAGTAACTAGTAAAGTAACACATTACTTTTTAATTTACAAGAAAATATTGGAGTTACTTTTTCAAATAAGTAACTCCAGTTACTTTTTTCCCCATTTATTGATTGACAGCTCTGCCATCCGCATGTTGAGAGAAAATCAGGAGTAAGATGTTACTATAGTTCTAGAATAAATGTGAACATGCATTAATTCATCTCACTCACAAAAAACAGATTCAGCATTCCTCAAAATGAATAAAAACAGTGAAATGCAACTCAGAATATGACGCAAACCTCCAATAATTAAATGTTAGATAACATACATATCCTTTATGTATTTAATCCCATTTTATTAACCAATGTCTTTTCTGCTGACCTTCGATGATCCAATTCAAACATACTAATAAGCAAAAATTACTCTAGATACACATTTGTGCTTCTTTTTTTATTGCTTAAGTATGTTGAATGTTCTTCTTCTGCGTTCTACTGTACAGACAGTGAATTTACTTTTTTACGAAGTGGAGTCCAGCCCGGGGTCGTCACATGTGGTTGCCGCAAGCTCGCCGTGTGTGATGCTGTGTGTTTCGTTGTGAAAGCGAAATAACTTTGTTTGGCCTTCCAAAAGAGGACACGACTAGAAATCAGTGGTTAAGTTATATTTACAACACTGTTCCAGAACAGTTCAACCCAAATATTCAGATGTGTGCAGCGCATTTTACGGAGGACTGTTTCCTGAACCTGCAGAGTAGCCTACAATGCGTCTGTGCACAAAGGCTGTTTCTATAAAGTGGGGCAGTTCCAACTTTGCAAGGACAGTCTGGCGCTTCTGACTCACAGCCTGTAAGTACGTTTTTTATATTTAAATCATTTGCCACTGACGATTCAAACGCGAGTTTTGAGCAGTGTAGAGTAGCGCTTGTTGTTTGTCGTTTCTCCGATCACAAATGCAGACATGTTTACGCGGCGCGATGCAACGCAACGCGTAAAAAGACAGTATAAGTAATTATGGGCAGTAATTATGTCCCCACTGGATGCAACAAATGCCTCGTTTATAATGGGTTTTATTGGTGTTGTCTCATCACGCCGGGACACGGCATCATCACATGGTAAGGGGCATAACATTTCCGTCACACGCTTGAGGTATTCGGCCAATCACAATGCACTGGATAGCTGGCCAATCAGAGCACACCTTGCTTTTCAGACCGATGAGCTTTGTAAAAATCAACGCGTTTCAGAAAGGCGGGGCATAGAGGAGCAACAATAATGTACATTATGTGGAAAATAATGTTTTTTGAATCTTAAACCGCATAAACACATTGCATTACACCAAAAACACAACATAATGTTCTTTTTAGCAACGTCATATGACCCCTTTAAAGGGCTTTTACGTTTGCCAAAAATATTACTTTTTTATATTAAAAACAAACAAGCAAGCCCTGCCATGATTTAAAAAGTAACGCAAAAGTAACGTAACGCATTACCTTCCATAAAAAGTAATTAAGTAATGTAATTAGTTACTTTTTTAGGGAGTAACGCAATATTGTAATGCATTACTTTTAAAAGTAACTTTCCCCAACACTGAACATCAGTGTAAATAGTAATAATCGCAATTAATCATTTCAAGGGAATAATCAACAATTATGATCAACAATTATATAATTGTGCAGCCACAATACGAGAAGATCTAGAATATAACAAGGGATCTCAAATATGAGAAGACGAGCTGTATAACTCTGCCAACACCACAGCTGCTTTCACACCCACATACAAAGTGTGCATGTGTGTTAAAATCAGCTAATTTGTGTATGAAAACATGGGACAGCAAAAAGATCCCCAGGAAATGCCAAGTCTACTATCCTTTATTATGCATTGTTAATGGCAGTGACTGTGAGCTGCACCCAACATGACACTCTGATTGCTTCAAACACATGAGTGTGTCCCATTAACAGATCAACTAAATGTCATTAACACAAGTATGCAAAGTACACAATAACAATAGAATTTATCTTCAAGGGATAGTTCAAGCCCAAATGTTGTCAAATCTCCTTCATGTTGCTCCAAATTTGTATAACTTTCTTTTTTCTGAGGAACACAAAAATAGGTAATTTCAAGAATGTTTAACCGTTTTTGCCCAAAATGATTGGGTTTCACTGTATAGACAAAACAATTCTTCAATTTTCATTTTTGGGTTGAACTATCCTTTCGAGACAAGCTACACCATGAGTTGTTTACAACTAATATGATTATATGATCGTCCACCTCAGGCACAAATTGATGCCTTCTTAAGTTTCTTGGTACTAGTATTTCTTAGAAGAAGAACATTGTGAAAGTGTTGATGTGTTTTTGCTAGAGGCTGCAAAGATGTTATTCACCTCAATATGGCTTTCTCACGACTTTTAAAGACTTTCTCATGCTGTGACTTCGGCCTGGCCACAACCCTGAGTCTTGCTAAGTCACACTGTCCAATTATATCGGCTTATGAATTGAAACATTGCATGGCACATGCAGAAGCTGATTCATGTTCATTTTAGTGAGTCAAGAACTATGTGTAGGAAATCAGCATGCAGCCTGTGCTGCGTTTGATCAGCTGAGACAACCTTCGTGAACTGAGGATCCCGTCTGCTGTTCCAGATGACTTAATCAGCTATAAATATACCTTATGTCCTCCATCCACCAAAATGGAACTAATCCTGGGCTTCTTATTCCCTAACTAACATTACATTCAAGCAATCCATCCAGCACCTGAGGATCTACACAAGACTGCATTGAGGTGAAGCAAGTGAATTTCTGACTTGAAAAGATATCTGATTTGAAAAGTATGTGTTATCACTTATCACTGTTGAATGCACAACGTTAGAAGTAAGAAAGCAAAACGTATGCAAAAGGGAGAGGAGACAGCCAGACTGTGGATTGGCAGATTTATTTATTTGATGCTGTCTGAAACTGCCTGCACTCTAATAGAAGCTGACAAATAAAGCCATGCTTGGAGATAGAGAGAAGAGACACAATGTCGTCCAAAGGCTTGAGAAAAGCAAACAGAGTGAGAGAAAAGGGCTCGAAAGTAGGAAAGAAGTTGGAACTTTTTAATAAAAACCTTGCATATTGTGGTT